AGAGGGGAAAAAATCAAAAGCTGCCAGATTTAATCAGAAGCAAAAATGTGTTTGGCAGAGGCAGCTGATCTCTTCCTCTTCATCTCCCCTTACACCAGCTCCTTCTCCTAGATCTACTATCCTACTTCGGTCATGCAAGGTAAACCACAGAATGCACTGAAAGTACTTTCTCGGGGCAGCCGGGGCTGAAACAGCAGGGACTTAAAACTCCAGTAGAAGCATTTGGTTATGTTTCCACAATTCTTACTCTCACAGTCAAGTACCATTGGTAACTATGGGTCCTGAACTGACAAATTTTGATATTAAACAGCCCTATACTGAATATAGGTTCTTATTGTAAAGCCACCAGCATCTGCTACTCACCTTCTTAAGAGCACGATGTTTTTCAGAAGCAAAGTATCTGGATACTTTCCCTTGCTAATTTGGAGCATATCTTTATATTTATCTTTTTTTTTTTTTTTTTTTTTTTTTTTTTTTCCTGACTTACTGACAGTTAGGCAGACTGTCAAATGCTTTGGTGTTTGCTTTAGTCTGTTAATTTCAGCCATATGTTTTTTATCACCTTTCACTCAACTTGTCAGCACTGGAATCTATGAATCCACTTAATTTAAAATGTTTGCTTCTTTATATGTACTGCAGATTGTAATCTATCTATACCACTGAGGGAAAACATCCCTTTTCCCAATGGAAATGCAACCAGTTTCCAGGAACAACCAACCTAGTGCTAGATAGGTGAATTCTGAAATGTCAGCATCCAAACTAGTATTATAGAAAGAATTAATCAGCATTAACACTATTATGCACTTATATAAAAATGTTTGCAAAGGTATTCTGAGGAGCACTGAAAATTAAATATCTCCCTCTCCTGTTGAGAAGTTACTCTTTTACAGTTTTGGTTTGAATAGGAAGATGAAAATATGTCAGCATGCAAGAAATCCCCAAAAGCAAACAGAAAAGCATAGTGATAAATAGGGAATTTTGTTTTTATCCCAGCAGAGATTTATCACTGTGAGAGTTTTGTGACTTTGACAAATTTTACAATAACAAGTTGTGTATACAATCTACAGTAACTGACAGAGAATAATATATTCCATCTGCTGGAGAAGTTCCAAGAGGCTGACCTGTAAGGTCCAAAAGTTTTCACATTTTTATAATTTTTTTTCCTAATAAAGTGTTATGAAACAGTTATTCAGTTCATTTTGAGAAGCATACATTACAGTGTATAGCTGTTATTTGACTATGAAACTCAAAGGCACATAAGAAAATTTGAGTTGCATTCAACTGTTATTTGTCATTCTTGTATTTGAATTTGTCTTTATGACCTATCACTCACTTTTGATATAGTAAGTAACTAACATCTTGATACTTAAGTGCCTTGTTTAAATCTTACAGGCACGTTAAAGATGCCATAGGTCCTGCTGCAAGGAACTATGTGCTGTACATAGTACATTCTGGTTGACAGAAGTAGAGGTAAAGTTCAATTCCTAGACTATAGAAAAAAAATTATGGCTGTAATCTCAGGTGAGGTGAAGTCACTGAGGAGCTTCAAATCATTGCAGAAAAAAAAGTTAAACTGTGCACCCTGGTACAAAGGAGTTCTCAACCGGAGACAATAGAAATGCGCGGAAACAATATGTTGCACTAGAGTATCTTCAGCATCACAGTTATTTCTGAGAATTGTTTTTTCAGCAAATCCATGTCTGTTTTGGCTGTTCCTTTTAATTTCACAGAATTTCTTTCTAAATATCTTTATCTTTTCAAGAAATTTGACTTCAAGGAAACTATTACTGTGGAAGGATTTAGCCTTTCCATTCCTGCAAGGATGGTCAAGTTCTTAGTGATATAGAGCACACTACACTAGTCACACCACAAATCCCAATATGCATAACTAAGTCAAGTGGTGTTTGTCTTTTGATTTATCAAACGTTTCTTGCAAGATCCAGCCAGCTATGGCACATAAAGATCTAATTCCTACATTATGCACTATGCTTTTTTTTTTTTTATTACACATACAATTACAAAAAAAAAAAAATTTACACATACAAATATTTCAAGTGTTAAATTAATGTTGATCTTATCTATAGGCATTATAAGGCTCCCCTTTCTCAAACTTTCAATTTAGAGATAAAGCAGAAAGCATCTTTATCTAGCCTTGAAAAATATGCCCCCAAACAATTTTTGAACAAGCGAAGATGAAGCTGGGTGGATGTGGATACACTAACAGGATATCCAAAGAAAAACCTCAGTTTTCATGAAAAAGAGGTACATTCACATTATGCACTTCCTGAATCAAGGTAAATTTCTCCATCAAGGAAATTTTAACTCAGTTTCAGTCTATTTTCTTCCCAGAACAAGGCATTTTCTTAGTGAGACTGTTATTCCTTTGACTGCAGTTGCCAGGCATTTGTTTCAGGTTTCCCTACAGTCTCTCACATCTGACTGAAGCAGCAGACAAGAAGAGCTGTTTCAAAGCAACAGCTCTGCTCCTCCTAAGTCAGGCCTATAAAAGTGATCTAATTCAACCTCAAAGTCTGCCATCATCTGTAAAACATCCAGCCGCAACAACCAATGAATAAAATATTCCACTATAGCAACAGTGAAATAGAAGCTGGCATGCTTCTTTTCAATTTTTTTTTTTTTTTTTTTTTTTTTTTTTTTTTTTTTGCCTTTTCTAAGAGAGACTTTAAGGGAGGAAAAAAAAAACACCCTCACTTACAGGCTTGCAACCTAGTACTTCTACTTCCCAAGAATAGAAGCCTATTAATTCTGGCAAGGAGATCTTTGCTGAGAGAAATCAGGTTTAAATTTTTGAGAGGTGTCAAGAATGTTCAGTCAATTGAGCAATCAAGTTAGCCTGGAATCCTGGAAGCTTTGCACCAGAAGGAATAAATCAGAAAATCAAATGAAGTGTGACTTACCCCTGACACTAGCAAAGGAAAAAAAAAAAAAGAAAAAAAAAAAGATTTGGTAATGGAATAATGTGCATGGTTGAGTCTCAGAATGAGAATAAATTAGACTAACTATAATAAGAATTGGAATTGAACAAGAAAGCATTTTCAGAAAAAGGGTGAAAATGCTTTCATTTTGCTCTGCTACCCAGCTGTAATGTTAAATAAATAAATAAATAAATAAATAAATAAAAATTATACAGGCTAGTCCTTTCAATCTTTCTTCTGAGGGACAGAGCTTAGCTCAGACTAACATTGAAGGAATACAGCTATACAGCTGAAGTGAAGATACAAGCACTGGCTGAGGCATGATTACAGGCAACCTAGTCCTCAATTCTTTATTAAAGTTAGAAGTTACACCATTGCACTAGACTTTTTTTTTTTTTTTTTGCTTCTGTCCATCACTGACTGATGATGCCACAATACTAAGACACACTCAGCTAAATCTGCACTGATATGATCAGCAAGGGAAGCTGCACATTTCTAATAAACAAGGGTGTTGAGAGTTGTTGTATTCTGTAAAGAGTAAAACTTTTAATCCAGCAACTTCATAAACCACACCATTCACCCCTTTCCCAGAAACCTACAAAAACACAGGAATTGCCAAGCAACAACACTGTCAAAAATACTGTCATTGCTGAAAAGCATTCTTGACCTCAACAAAATGTGACAGAAGGAAAATCAAAATATAAACCAGAACAAGAATGAAAATCTACACCAGAAGAAAAACTCTTCCTCCCAGAACAACAGGTTCATGGCTATCAATTGCATAAAGTAGAGTCTTGAAGGTCTTTCTAAAATGGTAGGAGCAAAATGCTCCTACTCCTTGCAGGTGTGTTTCAGTATACCACAGGTCTCAGTCAGATGTGGAATAGCAGGCAGCTAAGTGCTCTCACTTGAATATAGTAGGTTAACAACACTCTCTGGCAAATCTAATGTCAGAACAGCCCAGTAAAACTACTGCATTTGATTTCATTCAATACAGAAGACATTACACATTCACTCTGGGAGTAAAAATATTTAATATACATGGATATGTATTTAATTAAAGAGATCATCATGTCAAGACTACAGACATCCTCTCTCCAGGCTGAAACTGTGTCAGCCTCAATGCCACATAAGAGCTATTTCATGCAGACTTGACACTTGGGTTTAGCAAGGACAGATGAAAACTTAAGTGAAAGCAGCAAATGAGACCATACTTCAGCGCTACTGCCTTTGACTAGGATCAGCATCTTTGGATACCTCAGTTGGCCAGGTTTTGCATGCTTCTATGCAAAACTTGGCCAGGTTTTGCATGCTTCTATGTACAGAACATAACTCCTTGAACTATGAGGAAGCAGTTTCTCTTTAAGCTAAAGACTTTAGCAAATCCAGAACTTGCATGTTTCTCTTCCCATCACTTCAGACAAAGGAAGTCAGCACAATGACTGAAAAACTTTCCAAAAAAGTACTTACTTCATTGTAAACAATGTTATTTTATTACCCACCTTCTTTAAATGAAGTTCATGGTGGAAAAGATTTTTTACAAACACAACAATATCTTAGCTCAGCAATAAAATTCAACCACTTTCCATATTGAAATACAACCACTCATAGCACCACAATATTTTAGTGAAGGATTAAACAAAACACTTATCAAAACCGCTTGGTTAACAAAGAGATGGATAAATATTTCATGCCTATCACAATTTATTTGCACAGTGTTTAAGAAGGTGCTGTAAAAAAAGTAAAGTTATTTTTCCTATTTTATTTTCCTTTCTTCAGGCTCTATGTGAGGTAAAGTTTAATAGTGACATAGGAAGCTTTCCATCCAGCTGAAATAATTCCAAAATATAGAATTTGAAACAAAAAAGGTTTCTGTTTTTTATGTTCACACCACACATCTAAAAATTTCCTTTTGTATTTCTGTTACTTTGTGTCTCCCTGTAATTTTTGACACATTTTTCTTTACTGATTACTTTTATATTATTTTTCACGGAAATTTTCTCTTCATTGGTTAAGTTACTGTTAACATTCTCTCTTAAAAATGGTAGCTTAAAAGTAAATTACCTCCTGGTTCATCGATGTAGAAAGACACATCTTTTTTGTCTTTTTGTTCATCAATATGATCATAAGTGATCTGTGGAATAGATAAGGCATTCTCTCCTGGGTTTATAACAGGTGCAGAACCATTACCACAGCCTGGTTTCACTTTTCTTTTGGATCTTCTAGCCTGTGGAAGTAGAAAGAGGATGATATCAAAACACAGTATGAAAACCAGAAAAGAACCTCCTTGTACAATAAATTCATCTCAGCAGGATTATTTATTTCAGTGCAATTGTAATTCAGTAAAAATGCTACTTTCTTGGTTAATGTTTACAGAATGGCTCATTTTAGATTATTATTTTAAATTTGGTAAGGGTGACTCTTAAGGGAAGATGCTTAGCACATTCTGAAAATCAGTTATCAATTAGAATTTTATCAGTTAGAATTTCTGAAGCCATATCTGAAACTCAAGTCACCCAAAATATTAATCATTTGAGTATACAGTAGCTTGGGTGCAGCTTTTCTTCATTGCTAATTAAACAGATGGCTAATTAATTGCAGGCTTTGAAATATGAGCAAGGCACTGGGTGATCTCAATTAAAGAAAGTTTCGATTTTGGCTGGGCTGACTTAGGTACTTCAGCAGGAGGTGGAACCATGTAACACTATTTTATTACAGTCCACGCTGTCTTTTGGAATGAGTTCTTCTGTTCAGATCCGCAAGCACTTAAAAAAAAGCATGTTTGAAATTAATCAAACAGGACAAGAAAAATAGTAGAAATGGGAGTTTATTTTATATTGTGGATGCATTGCCATTCGTCCACATGCATGGGCTTTTATAACAGGAAAAGGAACTCTAAATTCTTTAAGGAACAAAATTCAACCATATGCACAAGATCAGTATCCATTTAAGTCTTTAAAATAAGGGGCCATGTAGAGAAAAGAGAAAAGAAAGAACCATTAAAGTTAATGAATTAGGGTTAGCAATTTATAATGAAGTTCAAGATGTAGAGCTTAGGGATATGGTTTAGTGGGTACTGTTAGTGTTAGGTTAGAGGTTGGACTCGATGATCTTGAGGTCTCTTCCAACCTAGAGATTCTGTGATTCTGTGATTCTGTGATTCAAGTTTGATAATATGTTAAGGGAACTCATGAGAAAAAGAGGGAAAATACTAAGGACAAACAATACTTTTTCCAATTCTCCCAACAGGTATTGCATGTTGTTCAACGACACCTAGTACTCAGCCTTACTTCTGCTTTACCCTTTTGCTCCTGGCTGTTATACATCAAGTTAAGGAGTAACTAGTCTCACAACAGTGGCTCTTCTCAGCACTGAGCAGACTGCACTGCTCTAAAGCCAAAAAATACACATGCACACAGATCATATTAATAAAGGTACCTGCACATGCTGTGGAGTAATCATATTGCAATTCTCCACTGAGTGACAAGCATTGGTGGGACCTCATTGCCTAAAAGCAGGTGCCATCGACCACTTTAGAAAACCGATGTGTCTGAGCTAGTCCTGTTGCAGCCCTCTCTCCAGAATGCATACTGAAGTCTAGGCAAGCCTACCAGTGAAACTACATACCTATGCTTAGGCAATCCCACCTGCACAGACAAAAAATATTCCAATTTACTGCAGCCAATGCTCAGGAATTAACTCAAACTTCCATGTACCCTCAAAGATAAAACACCAAGGAGGGATGTGCACGAGCAAGACAAATGCAGCTACTCTCAGTCAAATGAGTGTGAATGTAATTTCTTTAACTAGTTGCTTCTTTCTTCCTGTATGAATTACTGTGCAAAATGAATACAAAATGGAGAATGGTATCAACGACTTATACAATCTTCAAGAAGGTAGAATAGACTTCAAAGGGAGTAAAATAATGGAGAATAAGCATCTGTCAGATCAGCAAGGCAAATCTAAAACTAGAAGGCATTAGTCCTTCAGGAATATTGTAAGGAACACTAAATTGATCCTGCTATGGCAAAAGGAAAACAAAAGTCCCATTGAAAATCTCTCTCAGCTCTCCAAATTCTTTGGACTCTTCATAAGGATTTTGACAAGTTATCCAACAAAATTAAACCCAAGAACAGAATAGCTAGCTCTGTCGAGTCTATGTTACCTGTTTTCTCAGACTAGGGCTAGATGGCGCTGGTGGTTTTTTGGGGTTTTGTGCAGGTGATGTAACATAGATTTTCCATGTTGCTGTAGAACTGTAAGATTTCTCTGCCGCATAGCACCGCCACAGTGTCTATAATAAAATCCCAAAACAATATTCTCAGTGTATAAGCAGGAACTGTTTTGCTGGATGTACATGTCAGAATTTGCTGCAAACCAAACTGACAGCAATAGCTTCAATCAATTTAAATATGATTCAAAGGCTTCTGACTGAAATTGCTGTGCTATACCAAACAACATGCCTAATAAAATTCACTCTTCCCCTAAATACAGCTTCAGTGAGGCACCAGGAAATATAGTCAACACAGTAATTTTAAGTATGCTCTCTGTAGTATTCTCCTAGGAGCTGGGGTCTAACCACTGCTCACAGCAAGGAAAACCGTCCTCCAGAACAGTGAATCCCGACAAGTATATAACGCTGCTGCTTCCCCTCTTCTGCAGCATCACACATTTTAGCATTTGCACACCATGTTAGTGCATTCTTTATATAATATGAAAAGCTATGCTGAGACATTTTTCTAAACTGAGGTGTGTATACATATATACATATACACATTCTTCACCTCTGAATTTGGCAAATACATAGGACCTAAAGGAATAAAAAAATGAAGTTAACAATTAAAGATTATGACAAGGATTTTAATTTATTATTTTTACTAGCTTAAGTTTACTTTAGCTGCATCCAAATACTGTTATGATGCCTGCGAATATCTGGTTAATGAAGCCTCCTGAGTTCACTCATAAGAATGGATGTGGGACAGGCAGTTATCTAATTCTTTCTGGGGACTGAAGTGTACCAAAGAACCTCTGTGGTTAAACACAGCTTGTAGATTTATAATAAAGCCCAGAAACTGTGATTCTCAGATAGTACATAAACTGCTAGGCCCTACTGCCTATCTATCACTCTCCTATATATTTTACTGCTAGGGGTCTGACCTGAATTAGAGAAGCTGCTGCTGGGATTTGTCTGTTGAAATGCTTCTGACGTTGCTTCTGCTGTACTTTCAGGGCAAAACCGGACCCTAGAATACCCTAAATATAAATAAAAATACTGGTGAGACTTCAACGTAATTTTATGCACGTAAGCCAAACACTTAATGCATTAAATAAATGGCCATTTTAAAAAAGACAAGTTTTCAAACATCCACAGTAATAGAAAGCTATTTATCTAACAAAATTTAAGTTGAGCATGTTGATGTTGGCATCATATGACTGCAATAAATAACGTGTTTATTGCAGTCTATAGGTAACATTAGCCACAGAGGCATTCACAAAGTGGCAGTCACATTTCAAAGACAACCCTACACAATGGTGGGGGAAGCAAACGCCAATGTCATAGGACTGATCTACAGCTGTTCTTTGTACTTGTTTTTAATTTCTTAAAAAAAAATATATAAAAAAAAAAATAGGCAGACCACCCAACCACCCCACACAAAGCCACAACTCAGTTTGATTTTCCAGGCAAAACAAGTAACAAAGAAGTCAGATATACTTTATGATTTATTCTTTTTTTTTATATTCTTGTCTATGTGTTCCCCAATCAGTTATCTGAAGATTCAGAAAGGCCAGCAATGATACTTTACAGTACTGTGTAGAAAAGTAAATGCAGTTTCCTAAATTTCTTCGTTGTGGCACAGCTTCTCTTCTCAATACCCCAGGTAGTTTCTACGTAATCATAAAATAGCAGAAACAAAGGATGTTTCACCTCTGCCACTGACATCATACTGATTGAAATAAATCTCTCCCTTTCTCCAGAGTAGTGAAAATATCTCCTTCTTAAAATGCTTATCTCTAAAGAAAATGACTATGGTAGAAAGACAGCAGTTTTATTCATTTTTGCATGTGCACAAATACACAAACATAGTTATAGATGTGCATGCAAGTAAACATTCTGAAGCAACACCCAGCCCATTATTAAAGGTGCTGGTTTTATCTGTGCAGTCCAAGTCAAACACTTAAAAAAACATCCAAGTTCTACTTACCGCTGGTAGAGCAAAGAAAGATATAGCAAATACCGAGAAACAGGAAGCAACTGTTTTCCCAATCCATGTCTGGGGAACTTTGTCTCCATAACCAATTGTTGTGACCGTTACCTAGACCAGAAACATACATCTTATTCACTGCAATACCATACATGGTTTTCCTCAAGAGCAAAGGGAACTAAAAAAGGGAAAAAAAGGAAGAGGAGTAAAAACAGTAGGAGATATGAGTATCAGGAGATACAAGTGGATCAATGGTGTTTGGATTTGTGTGTAAGGAAAACATAGGAGCACACTGAACATCACTGTAGGCTTATTCTGTTTCTATATTCTTTAGCAGGTATTCACAAATGGCCACTGCTGGAGAAGTGACACCAGGCTTGACCCAGGAAGACTGTTCTCACAGTTAGTAGCTGTCTGTTTACATCCTCCTGAATTGGAAGGATGAACTCTATGGGCTTGAAACCATGGGCTTGCAGTATTTTTGTTTTTAATTTTTATTTTTAATACATATTAGTTGATAGTCAGCTGAATATGAGCCAGCAGTGTGCTCAGGTGGCCAAGAAGGCCAACAGCATCCTGGCTTGTATAAGAAGCAGTGTGGCCAGCAGGGTTAGGGAAGTGATTGTCCTCCTGTACTCTGCTCGACTCGAGGTGTACTCAGCACCTCAAGTACTGAGTTCAGTTTTGGGCCCCTCACTACAAGAAGGACATTGGAATGGGCTGCCCAGGAAAGTGGTTGAGTCACCATCCCTGGAGGTTTTAAAAGATGTTTAAATGCAGAGCTTAGTGATATGGTTTAGTGGAGGACTGGTTAGTGTTAGGTCAGAGGTTGGACTCAGTGATCTTGGAGGTCTCTTCCAACCTAGACAATTCTGTGATAGTTTACAGCGTTGAGAAGTAAGCCTTAAAAATCACTGAGTCACACACAGCAGATGCACAAACATTTGCCAAAATTTGCAGTCAGGCAGAAACGCTAGCTGTGTCAGGGCAAGCTACTCACTGTACTGGCAAGAAAGATAAGGGACAGAACTAACACTACCACAGCAGAACCCTCATATCAAGATGAGAAACATACTCCCAAAGAAAACATTTCAGTAAACCAAGAACTAAATACAGCTGAGTCCCATGTTCTTAATCCTTTTTTTTTTTTTTTTTTTTTTTTTTTTTTTTTTTTTTTTTTCCCCTCACAACTACAGTTCCCTGAGACTTAAAATTGCATTTGATCCATGGAATGTATATTGCTAGATCTGCTCATAGTCTGTCAGGGTACAGCTGGATGTTTCTTAAGGGACAGTGATCACAGAGCCAAGTGGGATAACAGTTCCATGCTACCCAACCGGGAAAGATATGAAAACAGTGGCCAGGTCCAACCAAGAGATCATAGATCTCTATAGATCATAGTGATCTATATAGATATAGTGGTCTACAACATCACAACATGAGGCAGAACCAAGATCAAGCCAGAAAGTCACCCTACATATTCAGGTCAGAAACAGGGAAGTCTACAACCAAGCGTAGCTTTGTTTCAGGTGAAAATCACCTAAACTCCAGCACAATTTAGGCATGAAATGAGAGCACAGAGCTAGGCTCAGAACCCATGGGTGGAGGGAGGGTAGATGCTACAGGTCATGCTTATTAGGGCCATTAAAACCAGTTATCCCTTTAGGGCCATTAGAACAACCCTCTCTTCTACCTCCCTCCTCCTGAGAAATATCCTCATGTTTCTCAGAGGTCTGGGATCAGGAGGAACTTGCCGTAGAGAGACATCACCACTATGGGTTATCAGTGGATTTTTCCAGGGTATAGAACTGGAATAGGGACAGGAAACTGGAAAGGGACATGGCATGAGTGACTTCGTGCTTGGTAGAGGACAGGCCACCTGTCAAAAGCCACAGAAGCCAAAAGGCCTGAGAATGACAGAAGAGTTAGGCTACCCCTAGTGAGTCCCGGCAGGCTGGAGAAGAATTAGTGAGGAGCCCAGTGGTCATTAAAGGTTTGGCACTGTAGGGAGATCAGAGCACAAAGCTGGTCTCTCAGGAGGGTTTATAGTGAAGCAAGGGACAGCTGCTCCCACAGAGAAGGTGAGCCAGAAGCCAAGGGGCTCCAAAAATGGCTAGAAAGGGGCCTCCCTACCCCATACCTAACCTCACAGATGGCAGCCATATCCAAAAGAGAGTTCAAAATTGAAGGCAATGAAGGAAGCCTGAAGTCAAGAGTATGTCAGCCCACAGGTTGAGGTCTAGAGCACAAGAACATGACCAAGCTAAAGGCCAGTTCCCATTCAGCAAAGCTGAGGCAGAAAGGAAGTGCCCAGTGCTGTGCTTAAACAGAGCCTCTGGGATGTGGGTGTTCCAGGTGTGGCTGGTCAGGCACATGGTATGCACAGCCCTGACACTACAGTATGCATGATGGCAGTATGGCAAAGTAGCAAAGATGACCTCTACCCATGAGAGGTGGAAAGCTTCTGGTGAGGAAATATAGGCTTCTGTCACTAATGTCAACCACTTGAGAGAGCTTCAACTAGAAAACAAAACAAAACAAAACAAAACAAAAAAACGTACTTCTATTTGGCAGCTCCAGCTCTAAACCTGATTCCCTTCACTTTGCTCTGAGTGGTAGCAGAAATACAGCCAAAACAGACATAAAAGAGACATATAAATCTACACTGACTGTAAAAGTGGGTGTGGAAATATTGCCTTTTATGGGAAAAGTCACTGACATACACTTAGATATTATTCACAAATAGGCTTTTGTGGAAATTAAAATATATATTTATATCAACAATCAAGCCATGGGAACAATATATTTCCTCCTGCTCTGAGAGCAGTTCTGCAGAATGCTGGAAGGAAAATTTGAAGAGAAAAATAACCAATTACTATCAAATTGAAATTTTCCAATTTCAAAAAAATCAGACTTGTGTTTATTCACCATGAATTTCTCATTTGATGACGTCAACTTTGTAGTATCTGTATCCTCTAATGAATATTATTACCTTGAACTGCAGGCTGCTCTCAGCAGGAACCCTGTCTTGTCAGGTGTTTGTCCAGACATAGTGTGGCTTGCCCATGAAATGACTCAGCCACTGCAAACTACCAGCAGTACAAACAGATGAGTTTGCCAGCCCCCAGAAATAAAGCATACCCCCTAAAACTTTGAAACACAGTATGTGTTAGCAGAGAGTGGAGGGTTTTAAAATAGTGTTTCTTTAATAGCTCTTCAGCTCCTCAGTGCACCTGAATGACCCCTTCAAGTCTAGGATTTTTCCTTCCTTTTCCTCCTCTTATAAAAGTCTTCTTGTCTTTTTGTTCTATTTTGTTTTGTTTTTTGTTTGTTTGTTTGTGTGTGTGTGTGTCTGTGTCTCTGTGTGTTTGAGTTTTCCAGCACTGAGGACATAAAAACAAACTGCAGCAATGTTGAGCTTAGTGTTACTATGGAAGATAGCATGAAAAACATAACCACAGAAAATATTGTTTTTCATCTCTATAGGAGGTATGCATTTGGCTTGCAGATTCCTGCAGGTGCCTGAACATGTCTCAGAAAGTTTCTCCCTTGCTACCTTAAGAGGGTTCCTTCTTGGTAATCTAGTTAGTGCATTGAAGTATGTGGAAAGGATTATAGATAATATAATGCTCTGGCTTTCTTAATCACAGTCAGGTTTCTTTTTCCTTGTACATCCAGAATTTATTAGTTAGTTGCCCAGAGAATGTTTAATAACTAGGCTTTGACACCTGCTTCTTAACACAGATTTCCTATATCACATTCCAACTGGTATGCACATGCTCTAATGCAGCCTCCAAAAGCATATATTTACACTTCAGAAAAGCAAGAACTCTAATTTAGTAGAAGACAACACAGCTTCTCACATGCTTTAAGACAGCCAGGTGTGCTGAAGTTTGAAGAACCAGAACTGCACACATTAAAAAAAAAAAAAAATAGTATTAAAAATAAAGGGGTTCAGACCACCACCTCTGGTATAGAAATTTACTACTGGAAATTCTGAGCAATTGTTCCTAAGGACCTCTGCCAGTTAACAATGTTTTACTGGAGACACTATTTAACTCAAGTTCAGTAGTATAGAACAGTCACATTTGTAGCAAAAGCAATAAGTTTTACCAACATCAAGAGGCAAGAATGGAGGGACCAACATGTCCTTATTTCCTCAAGAAAAATATTCTGAAAGGATGGAAAAAATACTGTGACATGGGTTACAACTCTGGCAGGCTGACAGTTCTATTAGAAATGCTTCAGCATTTGCTCTAACATACTATAACTTCTGAAAATAGTTTCATATAAAACACCACAATCCTTTGATATGTCTGCAGTTTAATCTGCACATCTGCCAAATCTAGGTGAAACCACCTTGCATTTAACTGGAGCGGGTGAACCTTGTTAGCATTCGATTCCAACTCTCTTTCATTCCTTATTTTCCCTTTTCTTCATATTTAAACCTTTCAGGTCATTTGTATCAAGTTCAGCAAGCTTGCACTTTCTACTCAAAGCAAAATGTTACCCATAATACACTCTGCGGTTTTTGACACATTAGACTTTCAAATACTTGCTAGCAAGATTTTTTTTTTTTTTTTCTGTGGTTAAGTTTTGAAAGGCAAAAGTGAAATCAAATTTCACCCCCTAGTAACTCCACATCTGTGTTTCTACGTTACAGAAGATTTGAAAAGAAAAATAAACTGATTCACTTTGTCCTTTGTCACTGTTTCCAGCTGTGAACTGCACCTGCATCGTGACTCACTAGTGCTGAGGAGGCTTAGATGTCTGGAAAGCTTAAACAACAATTCAAACAGTGTTCATCATGTGCCTCACACAGTTACAGAGAGACAAAGCTGATTTTATCGTGCTGTTACACAAAACAAGTCAAGTTTTGGAAAACAACAACAAAACCCAATGAACACTTTGCAAGGCATAAATCTACACTTTCAAATAGAGATTCCAAGCCACCTACCTCAGCAAGGTATAGTAATGCATGTTTTATACTTTGTTGATGATCACAGTTGAACTCTCTTGTAAATTCCTTAAGCCCAAAATGTTAATAAAATATGTATAAACATATCCTTGTTTTTTTCCTCCTTAATTTTGCACTCTTTACTCGAATCTAGGCTATAGCTTCTGGTTTTTATAAAATGTTTTTTAGTCCATATCCATATTCAATAAAATTCATAAAGTAGGTGCAGGACACTGAGGGTTAAATAAATAAATGAAAGGAGGAAAGGGTAAAAAAAAAAAAAAAAAAAAAAAAAAAAGTGCATTTCCTTCACATGGAAGTTTTGTTACATGAAGGAATAATCCATGCATGAGTTCACTTTGACTTAACTAGATGTTAAAAAACATAGTTAGTTCACAAAAATGATTGCTGAAAATCCTTTTTTGTTTGTTTGTTTTTGTTTTTCACTTTACCTAGCTCCCCTCAGCTCCCCTAGCAAGGGATTCCTCTTTCAACCTACTTGGATCTAAATTTGGTCATTTCTGGCCTTTTGTAGCTACAGCCCTAGAAAGTACATATTGCAGAGCAAACATGAATCACCATACTTTAATGATCACACATTAAATTAAGACTTTTTTGTTAATAAACTATATGCAATCCATTTCTTTCACTGCTGTCGTCCTAATTCACATGGTGCTACAAAGCTCTTTGTAACTTTACTATGAAAGAAAAAATCATGAGATATTTCACATAGATTTATCTGAATGAGTGCAGACTTTCATGGGAGCCCTAATGCTGCTAAAGTTCCCACAAGCAGATCCACTTTTAATTTAGGTACTTTGCAGGCAGTTAAGCTATATCATTGGTAACAGGAAGAGTAGCTGCATTCCACTGCATTCTACTACAGTCATGAGCCTGTTTACAGGTTTGTTTTCTTAAAGTAGACATTGGGTGTCTTCCATAACATCAACTATACTCTAATAGTTTACTTTTGTTTTTAAAATATAACAATCTGTGCTTCTGGGATATAGATTCCCTTCTTCCATTAGTTAGAGGTTATCGTGTCTATAACCTAGGGGCTTTATGTTTTACTGAAAATTTTGTCATATGTCTGTAGAGGAGTTTAACAAGTGATTCTTCTACGAGTTATTCCATGGTTTTGTTCTTTTCCCACTAGGTCAGATAATTAGGTCCATCTGGCCATTTAATGGATTTTTTCTTTTTTTAATAGAACCTTTTTTAGTGTATACTCTTTTGCATAGGTATAGGGGATACTCTACAAAAGAAATGACTATCTGACAACCTAATGTCAGGAATTTAAAGCTTAACAGATTTATATACTGAACCATTTATAAAGCGTAGTTCAGGGTACATGTAATATAATATATATTTCTGTATACTTCACTGAAGTAGAGGCTTACACAGCATCCAAGTTAAGGATCAGAAACATACATCTATTAGGAATGTTTTGTCTGTCTTCCCAGACTTACTCATCAGTTTATTTGTATTCAGATAAACAATTGGTTTATTGTTTAATAAGTATATTGTTATTTTTCAAGTCTGTCATCTAAGAACAAATCCAGTTTATTACGTTTCAAATCAACCTTGAAACTCTCTCTCTGAGGGATGGTGGCTCTTCATCTGTTCTAGTCTTCTCGTTTTTCTTTGTCACTAGCACTGTGATGAATCTTTTTGGGTTTGTTATAATGAGACGGCCATCTCATAAAACATATAAAGTTCTCTAGTGGTAAAATGGACCACAAGAGCAGAAATGGTTTGTGCAACAGCTAACAAGGAGGAAAAGCATGACTCATAGTAAGAAATATGATGCAAAGAGCCATATGAAGGGAGTGTTTCTTATTCTGTTTATAACTATATATTCCCCTTTCATCTGATTCTTGGCATGCATAACAATAATTACCACATTGCTCTCATAATTCCATTTCATCCTTCATATTATTCTTTATTATTATTATTTAACCAGAGATTAGCACTGATCATGACTGCTGTCCAAAGTAGCTGATAAATTTGAGATTTGTCTGTTGCTTTTGATGGAGTTATTTATCATAACTGTTAATCATGGAATCATTCAAAACACAGTAACTTGTAACCTGCATCAAAGTCTGTGCTATTACTAAGACAAAGAGAACAAAGACATCCAAAAATTAAAAATTAGAGTCAAGCTTCCACAAACAGAATATTCTTTTAAAAGTTATGAACCTTTTGCAGAACATTAAATGGAGTTTAAAAGTGGTGTAGGATTCAAGGAGTACTTACACTCTTTGAAATGAGGATTTAAATTATATATATATATATGTTTTCCATTTGTATGCTTTCTAGGCTAGTTAGCTAAAGACTTGCTATCAAACACCAAAATAAGTTAATTGCATTTATTACATTATTTTCCCATTATTTTCCTGGTATCCTTTTTGAAAAGGTGCCAAGCTTCCCTACACAAGTGTGTTCCTTACACAAATGTGATTTTTGAAAAAGAGAAAATGATCACAACTTCAACAGAAAATCTTGCACATTTAGTTTGAGTACACATTTTTCTGATAAAGACTTACCACACCCCACCAAAGGGCATCAGCATAGCTGGAGAAACCTGTCTTTCCATTCTCATCAACTGCATCCTTCTCAGCAAGATAAACAAAATAGGATGAAAAGATTAATCCCAAGAATCCAATGTACAATGTAGTTATAAGTTCCTATTAAAAGAGAAAATAAATTAGTACATAAGGTTTAAATCATATATTATCTATTAAAAAACATTATAAATATCTGTGGTGTTTGTTTGTTTGTTTGTTTGTTTTTGGTTTTTTTGTTTGTTTTCATCATGATAGAAAAATTAATGTTTCATTTCAGGTATGAAATTTGCTTCCAGTAAAACATGTAAGCCAATGTTTTGTTTTCTATTTATGTCAGATTGAAAAAGCAAGAAGAAGCCATCATTTACACAGTCATTTGTACTGCTAAATGTAGGGCAGGACATCTGTCCTGTTTCATGTCCTTTAAATGGGGTTGAATGGGAATTGTTCCATTTAATTGTCCACTCAGAATACCAAATGTTAATACATATTAAAAATAGTAAAGCGCTGCTTTAGAAATACACTTCATGAACACTATGGTAAAATAACTGTTATGACTCGAAGGCCGTGTTCTTCTGATTGTGACCACATCTAAGAAAGCAACTTGTACATCCTATATTTTGATTGCATAAGTCTGCCAATAAGACTGACTTGTTGCATTTATCAGTGTTATCCTAAGAAACAAGGATCCAAATGTAGTTGTCTTAGATTCATTCTAAATGTCACTGAAGGTAACACACATATATATACTAGAGCAAATTACTACACACCCATACTTAATTATTAAGATCAGTGACAGCAATCTAATACACACTGTATTTAAGAGACAGCATAGATTTTAAAATAGACTCATAGAATCATAGAATCATAGAATATCCTGAGTTGGAAGGGACCCTTAAGGATCATCAAGTCCAACTCTTGACACCGCACAGGTCTACCCAAAAGTTCAGACCATGTGACTAAGTGCACAGTCCAATCTCTTCTTAAATTCAGACAGGCTCGGTGCAGTGACCACTTCACTGGGGAGCCTGTTCCAGTGTGCAACCACCCTCTCTGTGAAGAACCCCCTCCTGATGTCAAGCCTAAATTTCCCCTGCCTCAGCTTAACCCCGTTCCCGCGGGTCCTGTCACTGGTGTTAATGGAGAAAAGGTCTCCTGCCTCTCAACACCCCCTTATGAGGAAGTTGTAGACTGCGATGAGGTCTCCCCTCAGCCTCCTCTTCTCCAGGCTGAACAGGCCCAGTGCCCTCAGCCGTTCTTCATACGTCTTCCTCTCCAGGCCTTTCACCATCTTCGTAGCCCTCCTCTGGACACTCTCCAACAGTTTCATGTCCTTTTTATACTGTGGTGCCCAGAACTGCACACAGTACTCGAGGTGGGGCCGCACCAGCGCAGAGTAGAGCGGGACAATCACCTCCCTCGACCTACTAGCGATGCCGTGCTTGATGCACCCCAGGACACGGTTGGCCCTCCTGGCTGCCAGGGCACACTGCCGGCTCATATTCAACTTGCTGTCTACCACGACCCCCAGATCCCTCTCTTCTAGGCTGCTCTCCAGCATCTCATCGCCCAGTCTGTACGTGTAGCCAGGGTTTCCCCGTCCCAGGTGCAGGACCCGGCACTTGCTCTTATTGAACTTCATGCGGTTGGTGATCGCCCAGCTCTCCAACCTATTCAGATCCCTCTGCAAGGCCTTTCCACCCTCAACAGAGTCCACAACTCCTCCAAGTTTGGTGTCATCAGCAAACTTGCTCAAAATACCTTCTATTCCTACATCCAGATCGTTTATAAAAATATTGAAAAGTACCGGACCTAAAATGGAGCCTTGAGGGACCCCACTGGTGACCGCCCGCCAGCCTGACGCAGCCCCATTTACCATAACCCTTTGGGCCCTGCCCGTTAGCCAATTGCTCACCCATCGTATGATGTTTTTATTTAGCTATATGGTGGACATTTTGTCCAGTAGGATCCTATGGGAAACCGTGTCAAAAGCCTTGCTGAAGTCCAAAAAAATCACATCAGCTGGTTTCCCTTGGTCCATAGTGCATATTTCAAACATATGGATGGGATGGAATCTACCAATACCAAATAGTATGAACTGATATATGATCTAATATAAGAGAATATTTTGTAGAAATCAGACCTTAGAACTTCAAGTTGATATGAATTTTTAACAGATAAGAACTTAGCAATGTAGAGCATTGCCTAATACAAGTTACTGTTTCCAGCACAGACTTTCATGTATACATGTATATATATATGCAAAGGAAACAACAGAAATAAAATGCACATGTGCACATCAGTGAATTTGAATACTGAGAGACTGAAGTCAACATATCTTTGTAAATTACACAAATTTATATGTACAGTTACAGTGAGTCCCAAACAAAATAAAATTAACACTTAGAAAAAATACAAGAAAACCACAGCTCATCACTAACGCCCTCCTGAAAGCAGTAGAACAGCTCACAAAACAAGGTAAGGAACAAAACTCCTAGAGATACTCATAAGCTGGTGTTTGATTGGCTAACTTCATTTTTCAGTAAGCTGCATGATTTTTCCATGTCTTTCCATCACCACATATGATATTGACTCATGTTTTGTTGCTTTTGGCAAGAAATGCTCACATAAGCTCAACCTGCTGAAAATAGAAGAGCATCCTAGCCAAATTGGGCCTGAGTGAGCTAATACAGCTATATGAAAAATTCCAAATCATATGGAAAGCATTTATGGAAAATTTAGTAATCTCTTCTGGGTCCACAGAGGTCCAAGTGCTTGTTATTTTCACAAGTCACAAAGATGTGAATTTATTTTTTCATATTGTTTAAGGATTTAGAGTCCTATTTTTTTTGGTTTTGAAACCAAACTCAACAAATAAATGAGGACCTTGTACTCTGTCTGTAAAGAAAAATCATGAGGTGTTTTTGTTGGTTTTCTTTAAAAAAAATAATCTTTCAGAGACTGGACAGGGATAAAGGTTCCATTTTTCATTCCATTTGATACCATCCTACAGTTTTGGTTACACTTGCCCAATGTCAATACAGAACTGTGTATATTATTTTTATTTTATTTTTATTTTATGTGTTAATGGGTGATCTGTTTTGACACTTTCTACAGATCTGTAGAGTTTTATACATCATCACAGACACTGGATTCACAGAACCTCAGGTGCATTTATTTATAATTCAGTTCAAGTTTTTTTGTTTTCATTTAGTTCGTTGTTTTTTGTTTTGTGTTTTTTGTTTGTTTGTTTGTTTTTGTTTTTGTTTTTCTCTTCAGACCATTGAACTAGTATTTGTGACATTTAAGACTTAGATTATATTTAGGAGATGGTATTTCAAGATTCTTGACTAAAAATTTTAATACCCATGGAAGAAGAGCATTCTCAAACACCTCTGTCAGTAAAATTAGCAAAAGTTGAGAACATATATTTGGATTCAAGTTCTACCCTAGTTAGATATCTAGGCAGTGTGACCACAGTAAATGAAGACTACACAGTCATAGGGCATTAAAATTCATCCTGTTGTACAGGACAAAAGTAGATTTTATGCTAAAGCATTTTTAAAAGATTATTTTAAATCAAAACCTCTATGTGCATCAATGGCTTCATAAGTGCATAAAATTTCCTACTCTACTGGAAAGAAAAATAAAAGGAATTAAAGGAACGTAACATAATTCTTTTGGGTTAAGTACCTCACATTCTCTGCCCCATAACACTAAAAAAAAAAAAAAAAAAAAAAAAAGGTAATTTTCTACATACAGAATGAAGCAAATGAAAGAATGTCTGTGGAAATCTGTAATTATTTGTCAATATCTGAGGAATAAATCTACACTCATAAGGAACAAGTTATGAACCACCCTTAGAAGTCTGATGTAAAAAATTATAGCACAGTAGTAGCCCTCCCAGGTATGATATGCTGTGCAATTTAAAGGTTACTGATAAAACTTTATTAACATGTTCATATAATAAGCATTATGGTCAGCTCCATAAAACATCAAAAAGAACTATTCAGACACTCATTTTAAAAGTCTGAACTAAAACATTTAAGCTTTTAAACTTTAGTGAACATTCATACAGAATAACTGTTTCCAAACTTTGGCAGACAAAGAACTATTTACAGCCATGTTTACCTGTGTTTAACTGTCTATCTGCTTAAATCATTGCTTTCCTGTCATATTATCACAACATAGTATAATTATTTATAGAATGAATTAGAAAAGTCCTTATTCAGACAGAAGAGAATGATTTAAATAACTTTGTTCAATCAAAACACTTCCACATATATATTTTTTTTTTCCACAGAACAACCAATCTAAGATGTGAAGACCATGGACAGTATTTGCAATATGAAAGACAGCCTTCATAACTGAATATAATAAATTATACTGAAGGACAAGATAAAAGAGTATAGCAATTAATTTCAAAAAAAAAAAAAAAATGCTGATGCCGATGCACTGCTAACCACTGACCTGAAGTAAAGAATAGTGTTCCCATTTTAAAAGTAGAAACACATGTTGGTATTTTAAAGTATTTTTCCTCTTGAGAGAAGTGTTCATTTAAACCAGACTATGTTCTTAAGTCCATGAAAAGATATACTGGAGTAAACAAAAGTCAGGGGATCTTTAAAGATCTAGTACCTGACGATGTATGAAAACAACTGATCCTAGTAGTCTCCAAGTGCCTCCCTGCCGATCTACATGAAGCATGCGAAGTATCTGGAGAAACCGGATTCCCCTGTAAGAAAAATAGGACATTAAATTGAAACAGTGATTGAGATCAACACTTTTGTGCCTATACAGAATTGACTATGTTCACTAACATACAGAAAAATTAAGACAAAAGTATTGACACCAGTAAGATAGCATCTTAGACTAGAGGAAGCCTCAGTAGACAACATGTTGAGATCTCACAGAATCACAGAATCACAGAATCACAGAATCACAGAATTTCTAGGTTGGAAGAGACCTCAAGATCATCGAGTCCAACCTCTGACCTAACACTAAAAAGTCCTCCACTAAACCATATCCCTAAGCTCTACATCTAAACATCTTTTAAAGACTTCCAGGGATGGTGACTCCACCACTTCCCTGGGCAGCCTGTTCCAATGTCTAACAACCCTTTCGGTAAAGAAGTTCTTCCTAAGATCCAACCTAAAACTCCCCTGGCGCAACTTAAGCCCATTCCCCCTCGTCCTGTTGCTTGAGCACCTCCATGTCCTTCCTGTAGTGAGGGGCCCAAAACTGAACACAGTACTTGAGGTGCGGCCTCACCAGAGCCGAGTACAGGGGGACGATCACCTCCCTAGCCCTGCTGGTCACACTGTTTCTTATACAAGCCAGGATGCTGTTGGCCTTCTTGGCCACCTGAGCACACTGCTGGCTCATATTCAGCTGACTATCAACCATCACTCCCAGGTCCTTCTCTGCCTGGCAGCTCTCCAACCACTCATCTCCCAGCCTGTAGCTCTGCTTGGGGTTATTGCATCCCAGGTGGAGGACCCGGCACTTGGCCTTGTTAAACTTCATGCAGTTGACCTCAGCCCATCGGTCCAGCCTATCCAGAGCCTTCCTACCCTCGAGCAGATCGACACACGCACCTAACTTGGTGTCATCTGCAAACTTACTGAGGGTGCACTCAATGCCCTCATCCAGATCATCAATGAAGATATTAAAGAGGACTGGCCCCAGTACCAAGGCCTGGGGAACGCCACTAGTGACTGGCCTCCAACTGGATTTGACTCCATTTACCACGACTCTTTGGGCCCGGCTATCAAGCCAGTTTCTAACCCAACGAAGCGTGCGCCAGTCCAAGCCAAGAGCAGCCAGTTTCTTGAGGAGAATGCTGTGAGAGACGGTGTCAAAAGCTTTGCTGAAGTCAAGGTAGACCACATCCACAGCCTTTCCCTCATCCACCCAGCGTGTCGCTTTGTCATAGAAGGAGATCAGGTTTGTCAAGCAGGACCTGCCTTTCATAAACCCATGCTGACTGGGCCTGATCACCTGCTTGCCCTGTGATGACACACAAGAGAATCTGCTCCATGAGCTTCCCTGGTACTGAGGTCAAACTGACAAGCCTGTAGTTTCCTGGGTCAGCCCTCCGGCCCTTCTTGTAGATGGGCGTCACGTTTGCTAGCCGCCAGTCAACTGGGACCTCCCCCGATAGCCAGGACTGTTGATAAATGATGGTAAGCGGCTTGGCCAGCTCCTCTGCCAGTTCTCTCAGTACCCTCAGGTGGATCCCATCCAGCCCCATTGACTTGTGCACATCCAAGTGCTCCTCCTGTTTGTTACCCATGCTGTGTGCATTGGTGTAGATGCACTTCAGCTGGGCCATTGCCTTATCCCCCGGCCTTGCTATTGTTCCCCCTGGCACAGCTCCAACAATCCTTGCTTCAGCCCCATCCCCCTTCTTACCTAGTTTAAAGCCATCTCAATGAGCCCCACCAGCTCCTGGCCCAGGATCTGTTTTTCCCCTAAAAGATAGGGACCCATCTGCGGCCATCAGGCCGGGTGCTGAGTAAAGTGCCCCATGGTCAAAAAAAACAAGATTTCTGCATTGGCACCAGCCCCTGAGCCACGTGTTTATCAGGTGGGCTTTTCCGTGTCCTCTCTGTACCCCTCCCTGCCACCGTAGGGATGGACGAAAACACCACCTGTACTCCCGCTCCATCCACTAACCGTCCCAGCCCCCTAAAGTCTTGTTTGATAGCCTTCAGGCTTTTCTCTTCAATGTTGTCACTACCTGCCTGGACTATCAAAAGAGGATAATAGTCAGAGGGGTGTACCAGGTTGGGAAGCTTCCTGGCAACGTCCCTGACCCTGGCCCCAGGGAGGCAGCAGACTTCCCCATGGGTAGGGTCAGGCTGACAAATAGGGCCCTCTGTTCCCCTAAGAAGAGAGTCTCCCACAACAATAACCCTTCTGTCTTTCTTGGTGGAGGCAGTCCTGAGGTGTGGAGTTGACCTCCTTGCCCTAGGCATCCTCCTGGGAACACTTGCTACCTCTTCCTCACCCACCGGTCTCTCAAGCTCCAGGGCCTCAAACCTGTTGCTTAAGGGCATCTGGGAAGGTGGGGCCGGAAGGGGAGGGCATCGCTTGCGATGTCACAATCTCATTACATTCTGTGCAAATACATGTATATTCAGAAATATAGACTTGTACAACAATTAAAAAAAAAAAAAAAAAAAAAAAGGCAAGAAATTTCTGAAATATATACTTTCAAACTTGAAGGAAACTTAACATTGTTTACCTAAATATGATTCTCAAATCTTTCTTTCCAAGCAAAACTAGTGCTTCAAACTTTACTAATATAAATATGAGAAAACATTTTCCTCTAGTTGCCAAAAGCAGAATGTGAACTAAACATGTTCTACTACTGAAGTCCTTCATGTTAAGTAATAGAAACCATCTTACTGGAAATAGATAGGTGATTTTAGGAAAATAACTGAAGCATAAACTTTGAATATTTTCAGCTAAAGAAAAATAATTATCAGCATGGGTCTTCAACAAATCTATTCAATTAAAGTATTTCCTTCTACTGACCCTTTTTGCAATGAACTTCATTTTCCTGCCCTTGTTTTACTATCTTATCATTGAAACAAAATAGTAAATAGTAGAAAAAGATGTTGAATTCACCTATCTGAAAATTTTTCAATATAGTATTTTACCTCTGCTATCCTCAATTATTATTAGTAGTATTTTTTAGTTCAGTCATCTTATTTCATTCCCACTTTAGCTGCATTCTTCCAGGCTACGTAAACTGTCAAGACCCTCAGCATGATGATGTCCTTCAGTCACTGGTGTTACTCAGACAGAGAAGGCATACTGTCTTCTGAATGATCCAACATTTCCTTTATTCACAAAGCAAATTTTCTGAGCTTTCACAGTTGCCAATCAGATGATCAAATTCTTGTCATTTATGGGGGAAGAAGACAATAATACTATCAAATGACATATAAATGATTGATTACACTTTGTTTTGTTATTTCTTTGATATGCCATTAGAATTATAGTTTTAATTATCTCAAAAACTTGAAAATAATCACTTAAAACCTGATAATTAAACATGAGTCAACAAAGAATTACAAGACTACCAAAGGTGTGTACCAGTGGACTTACGTCATTGATTGCTGATGTTGGAACAGGTGAAAGTCACACAGCTCTCCCGTATAATTGTTAGACACTCTTTTGATGCTTGACCCAATGGCAGTTCTCAATTTTCCTGTCTCTATTGTATCTAAGATGTTAAGATCTAGTATGTTACTACAGGCCAAGTTCTTACATGCCTGTTACAGGCACAGAAAGTTTCACAAGGATAGATTTAAAAGAGTAAAATAGTGAAGGCAAAACTCGAGTTACACCGCCTCTGAATATGCACACCACATTTCCCTTCCTCTGAAAAGAAAAAAGAAATTGAGGAGTGGCTGAGGGAACTGGGGTTGTTTAGTCTGGAGAAGAGAAGGCTCAGGGGAGACCTTATTGCTCTCTACAGCTACCTGAAAGGAGGTTGTGGGGAGCTGGGGGTCGGCCTCTTCTCACAGGTAACTAGCGATAGGACAAGAGGGAATGGCTTCAAGTTGCTCTAGGGAAGGTTCAGGTTAGAAATGAGGAGACATTTCTTCTCAGAAAGAGTAGTCAGGCATTGGAACGGGTTGTCCAGGGAGGTGGTGGAGTCACCTTAACTGGGAGTGTTTAAGGAAAGGTTGGACGTGGTGCTTGGGGACATTGTCTAGTGGGTGACATTGGTGGTTGGGGGATGGCTGGGCTAGAAGATATTTGGAGGTCTCTTTTAACCTTAATAACTCTATGAGTCTATGTTTCCTTCTCAATTCCAAAACAGCTACTTGCATCACAGAATGCATTGTCAGAAAACCTTTCAGACTGAGACTTGCCTGTCCCAGATGATTTTTCAATGCAGCAATAACATCACTGCAGAGATACGTCTGGTAGAAAGCATCCTGAGTTGTAGGACAGTGACTGTATAATTTAACACCAGGAAAGGACATACATACTGAACCCAAAGCCAACTGGGTTCGTAAATAAACACACAGCAGGCATTTTCATTAAAGCCCTTCCTACACAGTTTGTTAAATACAACAAAATCCTTAAAATTTTCACTTTTACCCTCCTCTTCTCCTGTGTGGATTTTATTGTCATGTAAAGATTAATGTTCTATGGTAACAGAATACTTAAAAAAAAACACCTTATACATATAGTTCCCTTCACTGTTTACACAGCTAGATTAGTGTACATAAATCCCAGTGATCAGACTGCAGGGGAAATCAGAGGTTTGTAACAGAAAATGCAGTACATCTTGCAAGTTAAGTTAGAAAGAGTGGGAAGTACACCTACTCCACTTATCATTCCCTTTCTTCTATTTACTCAGTTTACTTCCCTGAACAAGTCTGCAGTACTTGATGCAAGCTGAACAAACACACTAGACATCAAATGTTTCTGGTTCATGTATGGTATGAGTTACTTGTGCCAAACAAATCCACCAAAGCATAATTACAGTTTAAACAAAGTAATTACTCATACTTAAAAAGTACTGAGTTAAGTGCTGTCTGGATTACTTCTTAAATAAACTGATGTTCCGTAATGCTCTTTTGTCTTACATAGAGAGATGTTTGATGTTTTACATAGAATGTAATGTTTCTTTAGTTGTTTCCTCTTGGCTTTGGCATTCACACCATTCTTCATATGCCTTGTTTCTGCACTCCTGTTACCCAAGCAGTGATCAAACAATAACGCATCTTCCACTGCTCAGTGTTTCATTATAACAACTTAACAACTTTTCCTATATTAGATTTATGTCTGTGTTGCTGTGAAGAGCTGCAAGTCACTAGAAGAACATACCTTATTGCAGAGGTGGCAAACACCTGCCCATTAGATCCTATGCTCAGAACAATAATTGAGGCTATTACCACAATTAGATCTGTTAAAAAAAAAAAAAAAAAAGAAGAGGAAAGAATGTATTAAATGTTAGCTCTCAGCACTGAAACACACAATGGATAAATGAATATAGGCTGAGGAAAGAACTTCAAAAAAGAAATGAAGTTAGCTGAAATTTGGTGGGCAGTAAGTTAATGTAATAATTACAAACACCCCCACCCCCACCCCCACCCCCCCAAAAAAAAAGAAAAAAAAAAAAAAGAGAGAGAGAGAGAGAAGAAAAAGAGCACGAGAGCAAAAGAAAGAACAACTACAAGTTCTTCCATAATTAATTTAATAACAGAAGTTTTAGTGATCCTGACAGAACAAATCAGGCAGCTTTCCATGAAAACAATAAAGGAAAAGGCATATTTACATCATAGAAATGAATCCATGTTTTGGCTCAAGGCTCTTGACTTAAGAGGGAAAACAAGGATTTGTTTCCACCATTTATGAAAAGCGTACAGACAGATGTCACAAGCAGATACACAAACTCATAGTTTAAAAATCGTATTAAAGCTGTAAAGCCAAGATTTCAAAGTTTACAGAACTGTCAGAACAAAGGTTGCACAAGAAGTCAGAGCTGTTGTTGGTTTACTTTGTGGTAGTCTTTAACTTTATGAAAAAAATGATAATTGTTCCCACAGTTCTCATTTTTTTCCGCAACTCCACAGTTTACACACTTCCAGCATCATACAATGTAAATGATGGATTGTGTTCACAGCATCAACAACCTTTAAATATTTTCTGTTTTCCTAATTCGGTGAACAGGTTTATTGAATCCTACTCTAACATTATTCTGAAAGGACATTTTTCTAATTTTCTTATGATCATTTCTGTGGTACCCCTCTTTAGAGAATCTAAGTGCTTCCCTTCTAATTCTGACAAGAAAATAAATAATTGTATTATAAACGGGGAGCAAATGTACACAGAATAAGGAAAAGTTTGGGCAAACGTTCCTTGCCAAGTTGAAAAAAGCAGTTTCTTATTCTTTAGAACACTTACCATTATACAGCACTTCAAAAATAACAGTGCCTGCTGACTTCACTTGCAACTGTGAGAGCTCAGAACCTCTGTAACCTGACTTCAAAGTTTTCGTTTGGACATCCAGAAAATGAGGTACACTTGTGAAAACTGATTTAAATGACTGCCACAGAGGTTCCCTGCGATGCCTAGGCAAGATGTAGGATAGAATCCAACATCAGAGGCAACAACAGTTGCCTTTGATGAGGATAACCTTTTTTCCCTCTTCCTTAAATATTCTCTTGCCTAGTTCACAATCATATAGCTGCTGCAACACATATTGCAGCAGTTCTACAACCAATGGTATCCTTCATTCTGACTCTGATTATTTCCAGAATCAGTCTGATTTACTGCAAATCTGGATTCCTACCTAAGAAATTAGGTAATTAAAGACTGTACAACAATAATTGTACATTTATGAATAAGTACAGGGAGGGGTAAATTAAAGTTACAGAAAGAGCTTCCATTCTGAGATTATCTAAATTTTGATTACCTGACCTTCCATTTTCTATATTATTCTTTTATCATGTATGTGTGTGAAATTGTAAATTTAAACATCTATTAAATACATAAATAGCATATATTAAATACAATTTTAAAATGTATTTGTAAACACACAGATTTTAGGGAGGGCCTTTTTTTTTCCCCCTCCTATATTACATTGCACGTTAATGCAGAACTTTTCTCTAGAGTAAATGTTGTACCTGATGTCTTTACTAAAATATCAGACATATAGACACTTATCTGATGACCAGCAATAAAGGAAGAAAAGACTGACACTTTCAAAATATGTTTCAATCAAATAGTGACACCAATACAGATTTTTCATTTTTTCTTTCCGTTTTTAAAAAGTGTCTTCTACATGGTACAGAAGTTTCAATTATTTCCTCCAAACCTGTTTTACTATCTCTACTTCTCTGTTCCTCATACTAATACCACTTCACTGGTTCAAACAGCCCTGTTTTACACTCCAGGTCTACAGTATATCCTTCTGCCCTTACAATGCCACCTTTCAATTTCATGTATTTTCAGACCCAACATCCTTTCCCCAAACATTCTGCTGGCTTGCAAGTCTTTTATACTACCTTCTTCCAGATCTTGACATCAGTATCCAACCTCCTGTCCTTTCCTCCTGTGTGTTCCAGTCCATTCCTCCTACCTGGCCACTTCACCTTAGTATTCGAGACCAGTATTCTTATTTTCCATGTGCCTTCGAAAGTTTCGGAAGACCACTCTAAAACTAAAACCAATTTATTTTCTACTCGCAGCCCCATCACTGCAGCTCAGAGAAACCTGAAATTTGAATTGTGCAGGTGAATCTTTGAAGAATATAAGATCATTGCCTAGCAGGGCATTTTAAGCATTAACAAGCCACATTTTTTTCAGAGGCTTATTAGTTAGCTTAGGGTTGAATTCCAGGAATAATCAAAAATCATTGTCAGTTATCTGCTTCAAAGTTTGGAAATAATAGAACTTCTGTATGAGAAGTCACCAGAATTACCTTTTTTTTTAGAAACTTCAATATTTTACATTAAATGCCTCCACAAGACTCAAATTGAAGCACACAGAAAATGTCTGGATAAAAGACCAGCATTTATTTAAATAACTTCAACTATAACAAGCATTAGTATCTGGATTAACATTACATTAATATTTATACTAGTTTCCAAATTAAGAAATGTCAGGAAACCTTTGTAATTTCTAAAAATTGAATTCCAGTAATTTAGAAACAACAGTACATAGATAACCTTCTCAAACATTCTATCTACTTACATGTTTGCAAGCATGGCTGCATGAGGTACATGCATGGTACATGAGGTGGAGAGAGACAAAAATGACACAGCAGCTTCTGCATAGCCTGTGTACTACATACATGTATGTAGATAACAGACCTACATAAATCACATAAATCCCTGCAATTTATCATATGTAGTACACAACTTTGAAGTCCTAGTTCACAGCTAAGCCCACTGTACCTATGATTTACTCTCATGCTCTAAATCCTTTAGCTAATCCAACCAGCTGCCATTTTTTTTTTTATCTAAAATTCAGCTTGTCAGTGAAATGTTGCTTATTTATACACACAATTCAGGGCAGCACATAGCAATACCTATAACACAGCTTACCTGAGTGACGCTTTTTTCAAGCAAATTGCTGACTTGTTCTCACAAGTTTACTTACTAGTATAAAATTCTTAGCTTTTTGACTAAAAGCAAATAATCCTTTTAAAAGTAAAAACAGTAAAACTATTTTATCCTAGGAATTTTTATCTGTATTTTCATTTTTAGTTGCCATCGTATTTTACAGAATGCAAAGAACCCTCAGCCTGGAGATGTGTTATTAGTAGTCTGGAGAGAATATGATGTTCATAAGAACTTAAATTAAACAGATTATATGCAGATACTTGAATTTGATGTACATGATATTCTTTTTCACTGAATTTTAATTTTCTGTAGGCATCACACAAGTTAGGTGAATACATTGTAGCTAGAACATACCAAGTGCTAAGCACTTTTTCAGAGCTCTATCGTAACCAATTAAAGGTGCTCATAAATACAGTCCTTTGTTTAAGGACAATAGGAGATGGACTCACATGTGTACTCAGGTCTTTAATCCTGTAATTTACGTACCTAAATATCTCTTTTCAAAATGCATGATGTCACAACAAGTACAAACAGAAGTTAATTCATAAGTTGTTTTTTTTTGTGTGACATTTTTCACAACAACAACAAAAGGATAAAATAGATGAAAGGATGTTCTCTTGTTTTTGCATGTGCTTGGTACCTGTGTTTCATAAAAGCCTGATTAGGCTAGGAGATTCAGAAACACTTAGCTGCTAACTTAACCCTAAGTAATAGAAAGTAATTTAACTGTTAAATCAATATTTAGGAAAGATATCAGTATTACTGCTTCTACAATAATACATGAGCACTGGAACTCTTTAAACATGCTAATTCTGTGAACTAGGGAATGAAGAAGCATGGAGAGACAAAGTGATTTTTCCAGGGATGCTGGGAATTAATTTGATTTATGTCTCCTAACATTAGAGAATTGTCCTAATTACAGAATTGTCTTTTCTCAGTTACATATACTTTGTCTTCAAAAAGGAGAAAAATTAGGTTAGCTTTAGAAAACCTACCTAAGAAATACAAAATTTTTATTTACATGGTAGAGAAGTTACATCAGTTTCCCCTTTAGATGAAATTTAAAAAAAAGACACAAGAAATAATGTGACTTGCTATCTTCACTTTTTATTTCCCGTTATAGAAGTGGCATGCTAGTGGATACTATTTTATCCAGCATGGACTTCAGTAATATTAAAAAAAAAAAAAAAAAAAAAAAAAAAGTAATTGCTAGCCTTGACTACAGGATCTCTTTCTGGTTATATGCACCATAGAAATTTTTATTCATTCATTGGAGGGGGGGGGAGGAGCCATTACCCAAAATGAACTTTCCAAGAATAAATTCCAGTTTTTGTGTATAGAAAAATACAATAAATTTCTCTGATATCAAAGCAATGTTTATGTTTGATGATGTTAAAATAAACGCTTTCATACTGATTTAAATATAAAATGAATACCTTCACTTTTACATTTTGCTCTGATATTTTCAGTTATTTTTCTTGTGTTCATGTTTTATTCTTATTGTTCTGAAAATGATAGGATGAGTCAGTATGATTCTATCACTCAAGACAAATGTATTTCCCAAATTTATCCACTTGGATTAATATACATGTAGACACAGTTCCATCTGTATTTGAGATATAAAAGCAAATCTTAGCTTTAAATGTATTTTATTCTTAGGGGAATTTTAAATGTAAAAGTATTACTGATTACTTTGGATGCAAAACCAGTTGTAGTCATTCCCAGCTTTTATTAACAAAGACACTGTATCTTCTCCAAGGGCTACACAAATCTTAATGTTTACTACAGTAAATGCACAATACTATTATATAGAAATAGTGTCAAGTTGAAATCACAGTGAAATGGGACTGACACATTTTTTGCTGCACCTGTGTACTCTAATATACTTACTAAGAACAATTCATGTTAGATCACAAAACTAGAACAGCTCTAGAAGCAGCAGAATTTATTTATATGTAATGGAACACTTATTTCTCAATAACCAAAAATTGAGTACAATATCTCATCACATTATTTCACTATCACCGTCCAGATGTACAATAGAACATGTTTTCTAAGCTTTTGCATCGAGTTTCATAAAGTTGCAGATGGTTAAGGAACCATCAGCCCATTCTCTCCCCTTTTCACTCCTCCCACTTTGGTCTACTTAAAATCTAATGATGTTGATGTTGAGTTATATAATTCACAGCTCTGCTGGAGTTAATATAAAATCACAGATACAAAACAAAAAAGCTTATTTTATGATCTACTGCAATTTTGCCCACACACCAACTTTTATTACTTTGTCATTGTTCCACACATTCTGTTAGCTACCTCTTCCCCTAAACTCTCTCCTACTTCAGAGATGCTAACCACCTCAAACTGCTTGACTTTAGTATTAGCCAGGGCAATTTTTCCCAAGTTACGCTTTGCACATTTTCATTTTTTCTCCAATTTGTTCTTACCTTTCTGTCTGCTTTCTACATCAGACCTCAGGACAAAAAATTTTTCTGTTTTTTTTTTTTTTTTTTTTTTTTTTTTTTTTTTTTTTTTTCCCAATTACACCTGTAGGTTCAATAGGGATTTCTTTGCTTTATGAATTTTGCCTTTCTTAAGCTGAGGGCCTGCCTGTGTCTCGCAGACATATGTTAAGTGTTCAGTTTTATCAATCCAAGTAAGAAAAAATTGCATAGGCTCACAAATCAGGTATGTTCTTGAAACAGCTCAGATTTGCAATATGATCTCTACAGTAGTTGACATCTCTACTTAAAACTGGATGATAATAAAAAATAAAAGATGAGATAAAAGTTAAAATTAAAAAAAAAGAAAAAGTTTAAATCTTACCAATAATCGATATTGGCTTTCTGGCAAAACGTATTCTTCCCTGGAAGCCAACATATTTACTCCTGCAGCCTGCAGACCACAATCGGACCACATATTCAGCACCAAAAAACACAACCAGAACTATTTCCTATATAAGAATTAAAAGAACAAAATATCAGTGTTTTTTTTGTGTGTGTGTGTGTTTTGTTGTTTGTTCTTTTTTAGTTTGCACATATAATTTATTCCTACAACTAATAAAAATAAGCTTGTGGAGATGAAAGCAACACTGCATTAAAAAAGGAATGTGCTTTATCTAGTCATATTTTATATGCTGGCCAGTATGTTAAAGGGAGATGTAAACTGTTCCTGAATGTGATTTCATATGAATAAAAGAATAGTTTAAGTTTCATTCCATCATTATATTACAGGGAAAAACACAATACTCTTATTTCTTTATTGATCTTAATAAAATAAAATAAAATAAAATAAAATAAAATAAATAAAATAAAATAAAATAAAATAAAATAAAATAAAATAAAATAAAATAAAATAAAATAAAATAAAATAAAATAAAATAAAATAAATAAAGGAATTGAGACTCCAAGGATATCATTCCTAAAACTAGAAAGTTTATGAAACATTGCCACACCCTGAAACAGAATGCATAAATATATAAATATAAAAACAGAAAGTGTAATGACAACTTTTGAATGTTATAAGTTGTCTATTTTTGAAAACAAATTAATGATCTATATGTTAATATTTCTTCTCTCTTCAGCAGGTAATATTGCTTCCATTTATTACAAAGCAGTTATACATAACCAAAAGCCAGTATACTTCAAAGTACTTCTAAAGAAAACAGTGAGGATCAAAACATGGATGGATTTGTTGAGATCTTTGTTCTTTCCTTCCTTGTTTTCCTCCACCGCTGCAATATGTTACCACAACCAAAACACAGCTTCTAGGATTTGTTCCAACCCAAACTATATCCAGTAACTCAGAGTCACGAAACACCTACTATATAAATTAAAGCATTGGAAAATATTTTTGTTTTAACTTAAATATGTTTGTGATCTGCACCTGGGGAAATCTAAAGCACCTCTAGAGTGAACACACTTAAATCACAAATGCCACTGAATAACAATACTGACGTATCTTTAGAACTGATGCTCTGAATGGCTGAAAAGACACCAAAATATTTCAAAGCTAGTAAACAGGTAAGAAAAAACTCTACACTATTATACAAACCCTAACTCCAGTTCTGTTTTTTGACAAAGTTAGGTTAGCATTTCTGTATTCTCTTCTACCTCCTTGTTTTGCCTGGAATGAGAAGCAAGAAAATATGCACAATCTTTCCTCTGTTCACATGGTACTTTCAGCTTGACTAAAACCAAGGATTAGTAAAAAGCTAAGAAAGTTTACAGCACAGTTTCAAAGTAGAAGCACAAAAAATAAATAAATAAACACAGAGAATTGGCTCCCAGTTTACTGAAACTTAAGATTTTCCAGAAGTTTTTTTTTAGTAATATATTATCTAGAGTTTCTACAAGTGATACTTCTAAGACTGTGTTGTGTCCAAAATCTAAATGCAAAAACTTATTTTATCATAACAGTCAAAGCACATTTTAAGAATAATATTCAAAGGAAAATAATTCTTGCATTTCATGGATCTTGCAAACAGCTTTCTCAGTGATTAAATCGTTTACATTTTCAGCAGGTTCCTGATATCATCACTCAGCATTTGGTTTCAAGTCCCTGATAAAGGATATCTTATTTGCAGCAAAGGAAGCAGAATATTGTCTATATGAATTTACCAATACTGATATTCCCTTTGACAAGGGAAGATTTCTGTAGCATTCAAGTGAAAACAAAGGTGCCATCCAACTGCATCAAAAAGCATGCTTCTGCCACTCAATGGCAGTTTATTATATGTCCCTCCTAACAGCTAGTACTAACAGCAGTGGAAGAATTATTTCTACAGAAACAGCACATTGGAATTTTTGTGTCAGTCAGGTTAAAAAAAAAAAAAAAAGTGGAAAAGAAATAAGCAGATATTTCCTGAAGTAGCAAAAACTTCCTGGAATTAGGATGTTCCTTGATGATCCTCTAAGGGCACTTTTAAAAGCTGGAACTTACACTGTGTCTGGCCTGAATGCATTTTATTCTCAACACAAACTCCAGAATCTGTGATTTGATTTCAGCTACCAACAAGAAATCATTTCAGTTACACCTGGGAAGCCCTGCTAAAGTCAATAAGGTTGCACCGTACTGTCAATGCAAAGGAAAAATAAATTGTTGTCAGGAAGAAGAATGGAAAAGGAACTTACAGCTTCCATAAATTTGAAAATAATTACTTATGTGAGTTCATTTTGTCCTGGACAGATGTCCACATTAACAAAACCACAGCAATTAACACATCCATTGGCAGCCACAGACAAGCCAAAGACCAAAAGAACACAGAAACTGGATAAACATCACAGCTCTATAGTGGTCCCTCCAAAATGAAGGAGGAAGATTATGAAACTTATTGCTGTTGTGTATACTTCTACTAAAAGTTGGAAGCCATCCATTTCCAAGACTGTCATGACTGATCAAGGCTCACCTCAAAAAACATCACCTTTAAAAAACCCTAACCTGCCACTTTTTCCTCCTATCCCCATAAACACTTTTCAACACCTCAAATTTACTGCATTTTGTTTTCCTTCTGCTAGAGAAAACAAACAATGGCAATTCTCTAGAAAGTTAGAAAAACTACATGTTCCTACTGAAGTTACACCAAGAGCTACTGAAAAGTTGTTGTGGACATAACATGAACTAGAAAAAAGAATCTGGAAATTAAATGTGCCAACTATGCTCCTGACTGACAACTGCATGTCAGTTTGAGATCTTTCTCCAGCTTTTTGAAATTTTCCAGTCTTCTTTCTTTCAAGTGGTATTATACACACAAGAACCCTGCAAAACTTTATTTAGGATTCCAGGACTATTTTTGTTCTTCCCTTGCAAATAGTTAAGGAAGAAATACAGGACAGAGGATTCTCAGAAGATTTCATCAATCTTGAAAGCCATTTGTCATCAACAGAAAGCTAGGGATGAATTCTCTAATTAAATCAAAACCAAAAAGAATAGTAGGAACAAACAGTTACCTCCAAAAATAAGAGCCACATCAGTCTTGATTAAAATATACCTAAGAAATACCCTTGGCTACTTTATTCTGCTTTAAGCGTCAGCCTTCCGTTTTTTTCAGCAACCCTTCACTAAACTCCTGTGAGGAAAGCAAAGGAAAGCAAAATTGCATGTACTTTGAACCACACCTGTCATAAACTGTCAGGATATTCACCATGACCCACTGAAAGATCACGAGCCACGTATAGAAAAAAACACCATCCTTTGTATGGGGCAGTGAACTTGCTCCAGTCACCACCAGAGGCACAATTTACTGAGAAACGTAACAGTGGAGAAGGTCTTTAGACAGCGCTGTTGCTTGGGTTATATTCTGGGAAGAAGAGCACAGAGTAAGGAAAAAACAGCATGAAATACATTCTTCTCACCTACTCATTAGTTGCTTCCTGCTTCCTCAAGTGGCAACGGTAATATTAGGGAAAACATTTGACATGTGGTAATTGCGTATACACTGTTAAGAACTGAAATATAATATAATCACAGATTTTACATTGTGTTTGTACCGTTTGAAATCTCTACTGAAATCAGTAGTAGCAATTTCATTACTCTGTACTTTTTCCTGTAGTGTGGAAAAAGCAAACCCGTACATCTATAACATTGTTTGCTTATTATTATTATTATTATTATTAATTCAAGACACTGAGTGTCTTTTTTTTTTTTTTTTTTTTTTTTTCCCATACATAAATCAAAATCATACAGAATTATGTTTATGTGATTCTGGGCCTAATGAATTTTCATAACCATCATTAAATTATTACCAAAAAAAAAAAAAGAATTATAAGTTTAAAGGTAAATATGTATGCAAATCTCTTCTATCCCTATCTAATTCTAACAGTAAACGTAATTTAAACTCTTGTGGAAAAGCCATCAACTTTTACCCAAGAATGTCACTGATAATTAAATGTAAAAATGCTCACATTGGCATAGAAAATCAACATTTTGTACATGAATGTGTGTAAATGAAATACACAGCCTGGAATTTACAGTATGTTCCAGTACAGCTACGGATAACTGCAAGGGGGAGCAGGAGAAGGGAAGGAGTTCGGCTGTGGTGATTAAAGTGCATACATGAAAAAGACAAGTATTTTTTCAGCTGCATCTGTGTTTTATGTGGAGAGCACACACAAGGCTCTCTTCACTTTTTTTATTGGAATATTTAGGTGCTCGGGTAAAAGGAGGAAGTGAGATGGCTAAATGAATAGTGTGTGCTCATGAAGATTCAATCAAGGAATGTCAGTTCAAAATAATAAAGCCTCAGAAGCAGGCATAAAGGTTGAATAGTCCAAATGTTTGTACGCATGTACTTATGTCCAAAATTTAATCTGATAACATGTCTTTAAGGTTTTCCAATCCTTAGAGCTGAAAATGTCATTTTAGTGGCCCAATTAGCTTAATAGTTGCTCAGGTGTTATAAAAACTTACTGATACTGAAAATACTTATTTCCTACCATCATGCTAAATTTTATAAAGGTGACAAATATTATATGTGAAAATACAATATCCAATATATGCAAGAAAAGATGCAAAATTCTAGTAAATATCGTGAAGTGTCATTAGCTCATTCTAATGCTTCTCATATATGAAACCAATTCACTTAATGTTAAAAAGTTTGTTGTTTGTATGCAATGGATTTGTTCAACATTTCTTACAAACATTTTTGTATGCCCACCTGGTACATATGCGGACTCTGCTGACTTCACACCAGGAGAATATTTGCCTTTTAGTTTATTTATATTTGCTAATTCCTGTATAGAATGAAATAGTATGCTAATGAGGGAAGAAGATGTTGCTCTAGTCTCTTTATCTGTAATAAATAACATTTAAGTGAGTTGGGTAAGTCACAGAAGATTTATTTTTAAATATATTTTTATTTTTAAATTTATTTTTAAATAAATCTTCTTTTAAATAAAGAAGATTAATTTTTAAATACGTTCGGGCAGGCAATAATTTTTCTTAAAAAATGAGAAAACTGCAATCATTTTTGAGCAGAACTTCTTTCTAGAATTGCTTAATTCAGAAAGCTAACACTAATGCAAACACAATTAAATAGTGGATCAAGAAGACTCAATAAGTCAGTGTCTGAAGATCTTCATTTCTCTATAGATCCACCAGTACTCCACAAAAGTCTTCAACCTCCCTATCAGCACATCTTTGAGCCTCAGCTGAAGGCACCACATCTGGTAGGAAGTTTAGCTTTTTTTATGGAATGGAAGCTATTCAAATTCATTTTGGAATTTTAAATAATCATATCTATGTCTCAAACTTTTGATTTAGGAGGGTTTCAGAATTTCTGGATAGTGGTGGGGGGTGGGGAGGATTTGGAAAAATCCTGATGTACCTCTCCACCTTTCTCTCAGTCCCAAGTGAGAAATACTTTTATTCTAAGAATCTTCTACCTCGTGCACAGAAAACTCCGTAGAGCTAGAGGAAGGAGTGAGTAAATTTGACTGAGGGCATTAAAATTCGGCTGTTAATTCGTCTCAGCCATACTTACTGTACAATAATCAAATTTTAGAGGGCTGAAAAACACACGACACCCAGCACAACATGTTCTGTACTGCATTAGGGAAATCTGCAAGATAAGTCACAAGAATAACTGTATTATAATTCACATGAAAGAGCTTGATATTTACATTCAATTCCAGAAGACTATGGCAACTCAGCAGATCAGTTCACATAGAATTTAAGCTTACAGACTGTGTTAAAAGGCTTCTGTACCCCATTTTTTTGCTAATGTGTTTAATGTATGAAACAATATTCCATATATATTTTAATAATGATTTATATTTTCATAATATAATATTCCTGGTCTGTTTTCTCATCTTCCTAGAGACCAACAAGAAGCTAAGAAATAAACAGGGTTTCTTTTTGTATTCTCTCTCCCAGGTTTATAAGTAGTGGGAAGAAAAAAAAAAAAAAAAAAAAGCTTTTGAGGTATATGGTAATTTTTATTCAGATGAATTATAAACTAACATGGTCTGACTGTTCCGAAGTATAAAAGAAATGGTGTGTTTTTCTACTGAACCTAGTTTACCTGTCAGTTCCTTAAGGGATTGGACACCTCATTAACACCTACTGCTACACAGGGCAGTATACACTACACAAATACCACTAAATATTGCAGGATCTACTCTGCCCGCTGTAGTCTAAGAGATCTATTATCATCTGTAAGAAATGATCTGCTTCTGTAAAGAACAAGAGTACCTGTAAACTTCATCTGTTAGATTGTTAATGTATTGTTGTATTAGACAGACCTGGAGTGGGTCCTAAGCACTAATGCAGTGTGGTAAAGCACAGATTTAAAGTTATAAAATGTCAGAAAAGTAGAATATTGGCAAAAAAAAAAAATCCACCATTATTACTTTCTAAAACTAATTCCGTTGATAGGGTAGGAAAAATGCCCTCAAGTCTATACATACATATATACATACACTTTGCCACTAATTGCAGATGAGGGAGAAAATTAAGTTAAATTAAGTCCATGAAGCCTTTTTTCCACTCCACTGACAGACTAAAAATGACACAGCATTTTATGACATGACTACTAATTTAAATGGGAGAAGGGACAAAAGCAGAGACAAAAATAAAGGAACAGGAGAGTTCTTCCACTACACATGGAAAGGGTGAGTCCTCTTTAAAAAGCACAGGCTTTGAAAACAGTGTCATCAACTACTTTCCAAAAAGAAATTCAGTTCAGAAACAGAACAGTTAGATAAACATAGCTTAGCTGTGTCAAGAAAGCTGAGTACCACTTGGTACTCCAAATTGTTTTTTTTTTTTTTTTGTTTGTTTTGTTTTGTTTTGTTTTGTTTTTGGTTTGTTTTCCTTTTTTGGTTGGTTGGTTTGTGGTTTTGGTTGGTTGGTTGGTTGGTTGGCTGGTTGGCTGGTTGGTTGGTTGGGGTTTTTTTGTGTGCTTTGTTGTTGTTTGTTTGAGAAGTCTGGGCTATCTATACAGCAGGAGGAGGTGCTGTGGCATAAGAGGCAGAATTATAGAGAGAAAAAACAAAGCAGTGACTTCAGGAAAGCAATAGAACAATGTGACTCACCTGCAGCCAAGAACTCTTTCCTGAGATCCTGCCATTAAGCCCTGATTCCTAAATACAGCTATAGTAAGAAGGGTCTCTCCTGAAAAGCTTAAGCAGCAGCTGATGTGGGAGCTCCTAATCTTACATTTGAGATTTTTCTCCAACATGATTTGCAAACAGAGAAATATTAATAAAACTTACTTGCTACATGTAGTCACTACATGAGGATTGCTAGCAACGAAGCACTCAATGTGAGAGGGCAGCTTACAACAGGGGCAACAAATGATGACCCTGAAAACAGAGTCTGTAAGTAGCCTGTATGCTCTCTAGTAGTGTACCACTACGAACTACACATGTTAAGGTGTTTGGAAGATATGCTGTTGCTTTTTCCAGCAAAGAAATACGTCAGAGGAAAGTGGTTGCATGAAGTCTGTCTCCAAAAGGAAGAGGTGCCACAGGAGCTGAGCTCATCTGGAAAAAACACTGGAATGCAGGATCCAGCTCTACTGGAACACGGAGGGTCAAACCACTAAACCTTCTACCTGGTGCTTCTGCTGCAGAAAGCTTCTAAGACAGCACATACCACTTAAAGTCTTACACCATAAGCCAGAAAGAACTACAGTAGGAAAGCACCCATCCATCTAGTCCAATAGGACAAGAATTTAGTGATCCCTGGTGAAAGCAAAAGAAAACAAAACTCAAGGCCTTCTACCAATTTTAATTACCCAATTTTAATATATAATAGTTTTATAAGAAAATATTCCTATTTTGTATTGAATACAAACCACTGAGATACAATCTGAGATACGATACTGAACTAGCTGGGCTTTTGGTCCAATCTAGTACATCCATTCCTACACAATTTTGTCATTACTGCTTCGCATGAATGCTTAACATTTGTTAAGTGATTTCAAATTTAGATTATGTTCTCTAAAATTGAAAGCACATTAAAATAAGCAATATTTCCTATTTCTCCACCATTCCAATTACAATGACTGTAATATTAAATATGTCATGGCATGCAAGTAGAAATTAAATTTACAAAGTTGATCAATATGTTTTGTAGCAAAAACATTATATTTTGTCAGTCAAGAACACACTTTGTATCCTCAAATTAAAAAAAAAAAAAAAAAAAAAAAAAAAAAGTAACAAAGGTAACTAACATTGAGATATGGAAACACTACAAAATTTCCCTTTCACCTATAACAGGCATTATACAAATTGATTATTTCTTCTGTCCTATTCATGTTGTGTAAAAATATCGTGTATGATAAAAATATTTTTGTTTGTTTTCTAAAACTGCACAATATGTGAAATTACTCCCACGAGGTAAGAAACTTTTTTGCAATCGTTTTGCAAGGTCTTTTACAATACAAAACAAAAATCTGTCTTTTGTAAACTACTATAGTGACCTCTCCTGGTAGAAAAATATATGACCACCAAACATTAACACATTAATCCTCAAAGGAGGAATTAATTACACCTGACCCATTTTATAGTTTATTTTTTAATGCCATATCCTCAAAGATTTTGATGTAATTTACAAATCAAAACTGACACATGAACAACTAGAACATTAAGAAAACATTGCAGTCTCCTGCAGTATAAGCAAAAGCTTATGCAAGAGGTTTTCCAACTTCTTCAAAATAAGTTTTTCAATAAAATCACCTTAAAGCTTAGAGGGGAAAAACAAACAAACAAACAAACAAAAACTTCTTCTATTGGGGAATTAAGGTTTTGGACAAATTAAAAGGATAAAATGAAGGAAGCCTGAAAAAGAAAATGGATAAGCATAACATATTCAGGAATTGCACATAGTATTTCTTCCTTTTCTTGGCTTTCTTTATTCTTTCTTTCTGTCTATTCGTTGCGGGAGGGAGGGCGGGCGGGAGCGGCGGGCGGCGAGGTGAGGGAGGGATGGGAGGGAGGGAGGGCGGGAGGGCAGGGAGGTAGGGAGTTCTTTCTTTTTCTTTCTTTCTCTCTTTCTCTCTTTCTCTCTTTCTCTCTTTCTCTCTTTCTTTCTTTCTCTTTCTTTCTTTCTTTCTTTCTCTCTTTCTCTCTTTCTTTCTTTCTCTCTTTCTCTCTTTCTTTCTTTCTCTCTTTCTCTCTTTCTCTCTTTCTCTCTTTCTTTCTCTCTTTCTTTCTTTCTCTCTTTCCTTCCTTCCTTCCTTCCTTCCTTCCTTCCTTCCTTCCTTCCTTCCTTCCTTCCTTCCTTCCTTCCTTCCTTCCTTCTTTCTTTCCTTCTTTCTTTCTCTCTTTCTCTCTTTCTTTCTTTCTAAAAGAAACAGTAACATCTATGGGAACTTTAATGAAAAGTACTACTAAATACTTTAAATACTTTTTTTTTTTTTTAATCTCAGTTAGCTACTGTGATCTTAGAATAGGGCAATTTTAAGGTTAATGGTCATGCCAAAAGTTCACGATAACACACCAGGCAACTCAGAGAACAGCTGTAGATATTCCATGCTTTTGAATGACCACTCAACAATACTAATTGCTGAAAATATTTAAATTTCTTGTATGATATGTACACGTATATGAGAAAGAGCCATAAGCTGCTTATACATGAGGAAGCAGACATTCATATAAGTTTGATTGCCTCCAAGAGAAGAATGTGGCTGAAGATGCATGACTTCGAATCCTACACTAAATAAAATTCTAGAGCATCATTTACAGAATGAGGAGTATAAAGGGAAGACATACATAGAAGTCACAAATATTAAAAGTCAAAAAGAACAGTTAAGTAAACAGAATTTTGATAAAGAAAGGCAACATGAATCAGAACTGATTTGATTGATCTATTTGAACTCAAGGTGAGTATTTCAATGAGTGAAAGGATGAAGAAGTAAAATGCTTAGAACTCTGGGAAATAGAGTTAAGGAGCACATATGAATAACATTGGGAAAGTAGCAGACAAGCACAAGTAATAATTAGGAGTCAATTCTGTCACAGAGATTGAACAATGTTGACTAAAGATTAAGTATTGACTGTAGGGAATTCCATTATCACTGCTCTTGACTTCTATATGGGAGAAGGTATGAGAAAGGTAAGCAAACCCTGAGAAATATCTCCATTAGTGCCATAAGTGTCCAGAGAGTCATTAAGGAGGAAAAAAAATCATTAGTATTTGAAAGTTGCTTTTTTTTTTTTCTTTCCTGTTTTTACCAGAAGTATTAAACATACTTTTTAAAATTAATTTTAAGTGATACCTGAAAATCTGATGCTCTAATGCATGTTGGGTACAGGCTTTATCATGTGGTGTGCCAAATTTATAAGGCATGAAAGCCACATTCCATCCCCCACCCCCAAATCTTTACTCTTAGCGCACACCATACACTCTGGTTATCCACCTTCTGGTACTCAGGCGTGACATGGTAATTTTTTGAGGCAATATCACAAATGAGTCCAATAACCTCGTCATCTTGATGTTCCTGTGCTGAACTTGCTCCAGTTTTTCAAAGACTTTCTTGCAGTGGTGAACCAAAACTAGGTGCACTATTCTCGATGTAGTAAAATTAGCCCTAAGTAAATGGGTATAGTCACTTCC